GAGAAATTTGCATTGGAAAATCCTGTAATGTAACCTTTCCAGAAAAGGACCAATTGAGCCATCATCGGCACTTGGAACTCCTGACAAAGTTAACTTTATTGTGATCCCCGATGAAACTAGAATATATATATATATATATATATATATAATGACAGTTCTAAATGGCAAATCAAAATACATTCATTTCACCAGACCTCGATTAAAAATTAATACAGAACTTGAAATTATTAAATGTGATTAATGACAATATTGTTGAATACCTTTGACCAACAAAGGCAAGAATTACCCAACTGTACCGCTTATCGAAAGAAAAAAATTGTTCCACTCAAACCCATTTTATCAACCTATAATAGCTACAATTAAAACCTATGAAATTCTTAGCATAACTGTTCATTCAGTATCAATCCTTCCATCGAGTTATCTATAGAAAAGGAAAACAACAGATGTATATTATTTTTGAACTTAAGGATTTTGATGGAAGAAGACCATTTCACCAACCATATTTATTAGATACCACTCAGAGTAAACTGTACATCCATAATACATTTTATATTTAACCTCCAGTTATCTTGCATATCCTATCCGAATAATATCTACATGATTCTAGTAAGTTCCAATGACTACCATAGAATGCTGAGAGTCAGAAATATTGCTAGTATCTTTACAATAGCTTTGAGCCTCTGCTACAATGGCTACTAGAATTCCATTAGATCAACAGAAGTACATAGCAGTATGCATGGATTATAATGACAGCTCCACATGGACCTGAAAACTGCGTCAACACATTCACAAATAAATTTTAATATATTTGTTAACATAATTTTGCGGACACCTTGTATATTCATAAAACCCCAAAAAGGTTTTACTTCCTGTGTAAACTATTGATGAAGAAGAAAAAAAAACAAACAATAGTGTTGTCCATAAATCAAATTTCAACACAGGATTTACTTTTTAAGTGAGCTCTTGAGCCAACGAAACAACGACGACAAGTCAGAGGATAAAACTCAAAGAATTTGTTTTTAAACAAAAAATATATTTTTAGTTAGTTTTTCTAAGAACGAGAGTAAACGTCACAGGTTTCTTCAAATGCTTATGAAACTCATTTTATTGTACAGTTTCATTCTTATTAAACCGCCTGATAGGCCTGCTACACTTTCTTTTACCTGAGCATCTGGGAGCGAAACAATATAATAATTTAGAGGTGTGACATCACTGTATTTTAAAATGAAATTGCAAGCTACTTTATATACAAGTTCATTGCGCATATGATAAATAATAATGAAATAAATAAAAATATCAAAATAAGTGAACTATAACTCACTCCATTACCATTTATTTATATACATAAATTATATATATCTTTAAAAAGCGGTCTTCTATGTGCTGGACTTCCACCTGAGCTAATCTTTCCAGATAGTAGCAGCTAATCTCCGTGAGAAAGTGGGAAGTCGACAATAAACTAATATTACGTTTTCAGCTCAAGGATAAAAGGTTAAACGTATCTATTCATTCACAAAGTTTTTTTTTTGGGAGGGGGGGAGAGTATTATTGAACTTGTCATTGAACTTACTGAGATAACAATGGAACAAAGTAACTAATTGTTATAATTATGTATAATTATTAACAAGTTCTGAACAAAATTAAGGTAATTATAGATATTAGAATTGAAAAGTAACTTATAAGTGAATAAAACGAATTCTTTAGTATATATATTGGAACTAACAAATAACTTATAAATGAATAAAACGAATCCTTTACTATAGATATTAGAACTGAAAAGT